ATAGCAGCTACAATTTGGAATAACCAGGTAAGTCGTTTTACAGTGACAATAAAAGGTAGAATATAAATCTGGTTCATGGTAACTAACCTTAATTTTGTTTTTTTTTTTGTTTAACTAGGAACGTGAGCCCCTTAGGTGCATGTCGAAAACATCTACCCTTCGTGAGTGGAATTGGTGGGGTAATCCAAATAATGGTATATTCAAAGGGTACATTCAGAGGTCTGGATTAGAGCACCTTATTAGGTGTTCTTATCGGAATGCTGATAAGATTGTGGTGTCTACATTTGTTGAGAGGTGGCATCCCGAAACGAACACCTTTCACATGCCTTTTGGTGAGATGACCATTACATTGGATGATGTGTCATCTATTTTAGGCATTCTTGTGTCTGGTGCAGCGGTTGCTCCTCTTGGAGATGACAACGACACAAATTTTGAGTTGTTAGTTAAGTACTTAGGAGTGACTGATGAAGAGGTTACTGAACAATTGCACTAATATAGTGATGAGTATGTGAGTTTGTCATGGTTACGGGCACGATTCTCCAATGTTTCAGACACAGATTCAGAGGAGTACATCATGTATTCAGCCAGAGCATATTTGCTATATCTCTTGGGTTGCACTTTGTTTGTTGACAAGACTGGCACAAGAGTTCAAATTGTGTACCTTAGACTACTTAGAAACCTTGATAGTGTTGTTGGTTATTCATGGGGTTCTGGGTGCTTAGCATGGTTGTATAGACAATTAGGCCAAGCTTCGAGGTCTAAGGTGAAGCAGATTGCTGGGTACATGACTTTGCTGGAGGCATGGGTGTATGAGCACATGCATGGTGTTGTTGTCCCTGATCATGACCTTGATTATTTAGAGGTCCAGCCTCGTGCACTTCGTTGGATTCCACGTCGAGACAATGGCACAACGTCGGTAGACGTGCAGAAGTATAGACAACGGCCAGCACAGACTTACCGAATAAGTTGGCCAGCACAGACTTTTCATATTTTAACAACATAAGAAATCTCTGTGGCCACCACAGACTCTCTCAATTTTCTCATAAATCTCTGTGTTCACCTTTTCTATTTTCTCCTTCAACTCTGGAGGTTCTGCGACAGATTATGGTTAAACTCCTGCATTATTTTATCAACTTTCTCCTTCAACTCTAAATGACTATGCACACAAAGATGTATTTTTCAGGTTACATGTGAAAAAAAATTAAATAAAATTATTAGATCTATAATCTCAATTCTGTAACAAGTGCATTTTCATCAATCATTAGGATGACGGTTCTATTTCGGATCCTAGCATTGTATATTGTCTTCATAGTTGAAACATTCATTGCATCTCTATCTTTAATGGTGACCAAAATATCTCTGGGTTTCACCAAACTCTTAGACATGTCTACCAACAAGGCATTCTCTTCTTCAGTAAGTTGCCCCTCAAATGAATGACCTTGAAGATACTCTGAAATAGGATGGTTGTGTACTCCACAAACCACCTCCAACTTCCAATCATCCCTATCACCAATATTGACACCTTTTAACAAGAATGGGCATCCACATTTCTTGGTACCAGTGTCTCTAGCACATTTTTTCATATCACTATTTGCATCCGATCTTATATCAGTTGTCTCACTAGACTTGCAAGACTTATAGTTACCGTTCCTCTCACAAGCAA